TGCCCCAGCTTAGAGTTCCATAGACAGACCATACTTAGTTACCTTATTTTAGCCCAGTGGTTCTCAACCTTCTGGCCCTTTAAATACAGTCCCTCATGTTGTGACCCAACCATAAAATTATTTTCCTTGCTACTTCATAACTGTAATGTTGCTACTGTTATGAATCGTAATGTAAATATCTGATATGGAGGATGGTCTTAGGCGACCTCTGTGAAAGGGCCGTTCGACTGCCAATGGGGTCGCGACCCACAGGTTGAGAACCGCTGTCTGAGCCACTTTGGCATTTGGTATTTTGTTCATGTGAAACTTCTCTGGAAGTAACTCGTTCATATTCCTAAGGCAGGGCTTCTCTGCCTCAGCACTATTGACATTGTGATCAGATAAGTGGTAGTGTGGGAGCTGGCCTGTGCCTTGTAGGATGTTTAGCAGCACTGCAGACCTCTACATATTAGGCGCTGGTAGCAGCCACCCCCTCCCAACCTAGTTGTGACAACCAAAAATGTCTCTAGATCCTGCCAAGTGTCCCCTGGGGAGCAAAGCCACTTCCAAATTAGAACCACTGGGCACAGTATGAAAGGAATGCTTGTCACACACAAAATGTTATGTGAATTTTAGCCAAGAAATATCTCGTAAGAGAGTCAACTTTTCCCAGGAAAATAGTTTGTTAAAGAATTCATTCCCAATATTCTCTTCTAGCCTTTGCAAAGCAGAATGCATATATAGCAGATACAAATGGCATAAAGTCACATGGTTAGAATTACCTCTGTTTTGTTATTATGGCTAACAGGTTCTGCTGAGTTTCTCTTTCCTATTCCCCGGGAACAGAACACTATGCTTGAAGTTTTATTTGGGTTTTTTTTTTTTAAATATGCTGGTTATATGAAAGTCATTTTAAATCATGACAGATACATGACAGGGACTGAGAAAGAAGAGTGATCTGTATCTCTGAGCCTTAGATGCAGTCGCAGCCTCTCTTGTCAGGGTGTAAGCAAGGGTTTCCTGTAAATTCATCTGGTTTATGTTTGGACTTGGGAAGAGCTTCTAGCAGAGTACCAGAATTAGGGGATCAAGACAGCGTGCTGGTCCGTTCTTCCCAGGATATTTTTGGGGGAAGATATACTCTCTGACTTTAGGAGCAGTATTGGAACTTGTTAGGAAGTATCTAATACCATTCTTGTTGGATGGCTAGGATTAGAGCAGATAGAATAAAAATGCATTCAATTTACCCCCAAGGGTTTCCTTTGTTAGTATCAGGTTTCCTTGGCTAGTTTCTTTATGTGTCTGCCCTCTGTTTTCCCTGTAGAATTTTCTGTAAACTCTGCCTATCAATCCAATCCTTATTGCTTTCCTTTTTAATACTCCATTTGGTACATTTTACAAAATAAACCAGCCACACTAAAATGCGATGCGCAGTGCGCTCCGTTGGTGTAAGAGGCTGAAACTGGGTTTTTAATGGAAGTTAATCAGCGTGTGGGGAATGGGAAGGACTGTGTGTGGAGTGGTCATGAGTGCCTCTCATGTCATTATGAGCCCGAAATACATTGTTCTGTTCAATGCCTTATAAGTAAGACTTGTCAAAGATAAGCGCTAAAGAAGATTTTTAAATGTAAACATCTTCTATTCTCCCACCATCTTGGCACTGGTCATGCTGTCCTGTAATCATTACTTAGTTCCCAAGCTGCCCTGTGTCCATTGGTTCATTTAACCTATAGTGATGTATCTACTATGTCTCAGTCCCTGTTCTAGACAAGAGTCAATGTGTCCTCAACGTTCTTAAAGCTGTCAGACTAGAGGGGGAAATAGTCAGTGCATGCATTGTATAAATCAGCTTGGCTTCCATAACAAAATACTATGATTAGATGGCTCAAAACAACAGAAATTTATTTTCTCACAGTTCTGGAGGCTAGAAGTCCAAGATCAAGGTCTGGCAGATTCCATTTCTGATGAGGACTCTACTTCCTGGCTTGTAGATGGATGCCTTCTCACTGTGCCTTCACGTGTCATTTCCTCCATGTATAGGTGTGGAGAGAGAAAGAGAAATAGAGGAGAGAGAGAGAGAGAGAGAGAGAGAGAGAGAGAGAGAGAGAGAGAAAGGGAGAGAGATAACTCGGTAGTGTCTTTTCTTATAAGGACACTAATCCTTTCAGATCAGGACCCCACTCTCTTGAGCTCATTTTAACCTTAATTGCTTCTTTAGAGGCTTCATCTCCAAATACTGTATAACTGCACTAGGAGTTAGGATGTCAATATGAATTTTGGAGGGACACACATTCAGCCCATAAGATATATCTATTTTTTTAAAAATTACTAGTTCAGATAGTGATAAGAGCAATGAAAGAAAAATTGTTAGAGGAAAGGAATAGAGAACAATGGGGACAGAGATGGTGGCTACTACGTTAGCCACAGGCCTCTCTGAAGAAGTGAAAGTTGAGTGATATTAGTAATGAGTAAGAGGTAACCTTGGGGAGATTTAGGGAAGTGAACATTCTAGGTAGCGAGAATTGTAAGGTCAGTGATCCAAGATGGGAGTGAGAATGACAGGACCATGGGACAAAAGGTTTGTACAGTTGGATCCTAATTGGCTAGGGGGAGAGGAGTAAGAGAAAATATTAGAGAGGGCAGTAGACTCATTTTGCTATCCAGTACTAAGAATTCAACTTTTATTCTCATTGCAATGGAAAGCTATTGGAGGGTTTTAGAATGATTCATGTACAGATAAGATTCGATTTCAATGGCTAAATAGAGAAAATCCAAGGAATGTTTTAGAGTCTTCCCCATCTTTGGTACACATAGTATATGCTCAATAAATTTTTTTAAACATGGAAGTATGGATGTTTTCTTACGTAGTAATTGACTTCTTTTAAACATCAGGTTTATGAGGTATAATTTACATAGAATATATATTCATTCTTTATAGTGTACAATTCTATGAGTTCTGGCAAACACATAGTCATTCAAGCACCAAACAATCAAGATATAGAAGAATTACATCACTTCCCCAAACTCCCTCCTGTGTTACTGTAGTCAACCCTTTCCCCCAACCCCAGCCTTTGGCATCCACTGATCTCTTTTCTGCCTTTATAGTTATTCATTTTCTATATTGTGATAAAAATGGAACTATAAAATATAGAGCCTTTTGAGTCTGACTTCTTTAGCATAATCCACTCAAGATTCATCATATTAAATGAATCAGTAGTTCTTTCCTTTTTATTGCTGAATAGCTGTCCAACATGCAGATGTACCAGTTTGTTTATTGACTCAGTTAAAGGATATTTGGCTTGTTTCCAGCCTTTGGGGAGTATCAATAAACCTGCTATAAACATTTGCATTAAGGATTTTGTGCAGACATATGTTTTCATTTATCTTTAGTTAATATCTACCAGTGGGGTTGTTGGGTTATATGTGATGTGCATGTTTAACTTTATAAGAAACTTCCAACCTGTTTTTCACAATGGCTGTACCATTCTGCATTTCCACCAGCAATGAGCGAGAGTTGTACTTTCTCTCATTTCCTACTAGCATTAGTATTGTCATTTTCTTATAAATTTCCCATTCTAATAGGTATGTAGTCAATAGATTTTTTTTCAAACTGCACAACTATAAATTCAGAGGTCTGGTGGGTATGAATAGAAAGGATTAAATGTGTAAGGAATAATTTTTAGCTATATCTTAACCAAAATAATATGATGTTATAATCCTCCTTGAGAGCTAGTAAAATAAATTTGACACTATAGTTCCATAATACTTGCTTGGAGACTTATAGAATAGAAGCTAAAGAATTTACTCCTTAAATGGCAACCTTGAAGTCTAGCCTTCCTATATTCAATGTGAGGTCTTGTGGAATGCATCCTTAGGAAGGTAACCCATGAGATTTTCTCTTTTAAAATATTGGGGACTCCTGAGGTGTGATGAAGCTTTTGTCCCCAAAAGTCCAACCTCAGTCATACTTTGTTGTTGTTGTTTTTTTTAAATTAAAAGTAGTTGACTTTTACTAACAGTATGGCAAAGTAAAATAATGATTTCATTCTCCCTGATACACATTTTCCCAATAAATCTTCCCATCAGTGAAATACTACATCATAGGCAACTCCATCGTGGTTTTGTCTGTTCGTAGTCTGGCCACTCCAGCATTTCACTTACCAGGGAGACATGAAGGAGGAAACATGATTTTAAATCTGGCTGAGGAATTTGAGCTTTGGGTACCTTGTGGACTCCAAGGCAACCACAGAGCGAAGATGGATATGTCACTGATCTCAGTATCTCGAATCTATTCTTCAGTAGATCCCTAAGCTTCCTCAGATTTGTGAAGTCCTGATCTGCTCAGTATCATTCTACAATTGTTCACTGAAGGGGCATGAAGGACTAGAAAACTTAATGCTTTTTACAGAGTCTACAGGAGTATATCACATACATCCAGAATCGCCACCAACACCATGACTGCATCTCTACCTAGACACAAATTGTCCACTTCCCTTTTCACAGAGAAAGTATTTAGCTTAGATTTTGCATGAGGGTATGGTCGCATACCTCCCACAAGTTAGCCAGAACTCCTGGAGCTGATTCTGTTTCTTCAATGAAAAGATATAGATGCAATTTGTGCTTACGTAACACCGGCCTCCTTTAGAAAGCTTGGTACTATCATTTTGCCTTTCTTTCCAAAGAGCTTTAAAATGGCATCGCCTTTCCGAAACAAAACAGGGCCTGTTGCTTTTCTCTCCCAGTTGGTTAAAGCACAGTTACACTCACTCACCTGGCATAAGAGATTTTGTGTGGCCATATTTATGAGATGACTCCAAGTTGTCATGTCTGTTCAGAACGACTTATTTCTCTTAGTGGAATCCAATCCAACAAACCTCCTGGATACTCCTGTTCAGAGTTGGTGGGCGAACGTGAGGGTGGAACTCTGTCTTCCCCAGAAGTGCTTGGTAGCATTTGCTGAGCGGCCAGGCATTCGGCAGCTGTATGAACCTTCTTCTTTTGTTGTTGTTTTCTGTTTGCAGATTTTATTCTTCACCGTACAGTATTGCAACCAACCGCATGATTCCACAGACATCTATCACGCCATTCATTGCTGCTTCCCCTGTCTCCACATACCAGGTATGTCCGATTCCCCGCCCCTCAGGAGAGGTCTCTTGCCAGTGATAATCGCCGTAGAGGCCAAGACACAGTAGAACTTTTAAAAATCGCCCTCGCACACTTGACTCACGTCCTGATGTGGTAATGCTCAAGTCACCAATTAGTCTACACTTTCCAGGGCTTGTTCGCATCTATTTCACTGAGTAGTAAAATCCACCGTGCTTTTCATTCTTCTGAGAGAACACCTGCTGAGTTTTTCGTGATTATGCTACTTCCCAGACAACGTTAGGACCGCTGTCTTTCTTACCACTGAGAAATGATTTTGTTTGCTGTCTGTTATTTTGGTTGTCACGCTTCCTAGTGTGTCTTTTCTGAAAGCACATTTCTCGCATTCCCTGCCCTCCCTCCGGCATGTTTTACCATTGTCATCTCATTTTGTCACAGTTGTCCTGTGTATCCATGTAAAACTACATGGACTGATGTTCAATCAGTTTCCCCGGGAAATAAGAAAAGATTATCAAAGTGGTAAAGAGTGATTCCTCCTGTCTGTTCTGGCTTTGTTCTCAGTTCCTAAAGAGCCCAAGGAGACCTCAGGGGTTCCACATGTTGAAACACAAGAAAATCCGAGAATCGGTGTGTGTCCTAAACCAGATGTTGTAGCCAGTTAACTCTATGTACACAGGTGGATTGCAGCAGTCACACTTCTCCCTTAAAAACGACTTCTTGTCTTATTTCTTTTGACTTATCAACTATGTGATATCACTCCCTGCTTCCCTTTCCCTCATATTGTTCCTCAGACAATTCTTCTTAATTCTAAAAAGAAATCGCTATCCATGTAACATAGAGCCTCTAATGTCATTTTTTAAAACTCTGGAGAAAGAGAAAAGAGCGAGAAAGAGAGAGAGTACAAGAGCATGCACGCCATGTGTTTCTCTGTCTTGTGCAGATGGTGGGGGTGGGGGTGGGGGTTTTACAATGGGTAACTCCAATGCTGCTGACTGCTACTAATTCAGTTAAGCGTCACCTTATTCAGCCACTACATACTTCATCTCGGGATGCCCCAGTTGTCAGAGCATCAAACTTGAGACTATGCACATATTTCCTTAGCGGATCCCCCCTGACGCAGTTCATGTTCATTCATTTCCTGCACTTAGATTCTTCATACATGTTGGTGGGCGAACAGAATAGACTTTCGTGTGAATTGCATCTGAGGGTCTCTGAATGGCTGACTTCCTAATGGCCTTTCCCTGGGACCCCCGAGGCTCTGTGCAGGTGCTGTTCCCCTTTCGTTCCTCATGCAGGCCTGCCTGGTTGTAATGTGTAACCTCCCACCCCCCCCAATCTTGGCCTCTGTTTCAGCCAAGACCACCCATTGAGCCCCAGTGCGGAGCACTTTGGTGACATGAATAAAACATCCACAGAAAAGTGACTTTACTTGGGAGGGCTCCTAAGTGGAATTTAACCCCAGCTCTCTTTTCTCATAAAAGGAATTAGAGCAATTTCCTATGTTGTTGATTCTTGCCTTTCAACACTTCTTCCTTTTTTTTTTTTTTAATCTAAATGGCATTGGCAATTTTGCTTGTGTGAGTATACTGAAAACAAAATCTTTAAGGTTCTTTATGTGACAAACAGCTCTTCAAGTTGACATTCGCATTTGGCTGACAAGGCCCATTTCAGAACAGTTGGCTCAAATACTCATTTTTATTTACATACCAGTTACTATGAAAGAAACAATATTACAAACTCGCTTAACTTGGGTTGATTCCAGAGCATTTTCCCCAATTTTTGGTTGACCTATTTAACTCTTACCCCAACTTTTATCGCTTGGACTTATTTCCAAGATGAGAATCACTGAAGAATTTGAAGTTCAAACAGATGACAGAAAAAAAGGAAGTCTTAGCATAAACACTTGCTTCCTTAGTATTTGCCTGGGTATCCCTGGGAGTTGACCTCTAAATAGGAGGTCCCTGAGGCTTCCTGATACTTTAGTCTCTAACACCATCCTCAAAATATGCTCCAGATCCTAGCCTGGTCCATGTGGGCCCTGCAGCCAGCTTCAGTGAAGCAGGAATTTGCTTTACATTTTATCATGTTTCAGGGACCAAATGAATCAGGCCCAAAATGTGCTTTCTATCCTTAGTTTTGAGCACTAATTAGCTGTAAAATCAGATGGACTCCACTTTTTTATGATCTAGTGTGATTCCACTGAACGCAAGAACCAAGTTCTCTCTGTGATTGCTTTGTGCTAATAAATGCTGTTTGATGCATAGGTCCAGAGTACTTCATGGATGCCTCATCCGCCATACGTTATGCAACCAACAGTAAGTGTTCTCAGTCACCTGAGGCTAAATATTTCTATTATCCAAGTGCAAGCTTTTGTAATGCATAGAAGCTTTGGGGTAAAGCTTTTGTTATATTTTATACCTCTTTCAGGCAGCCATATTTTCCAGATAAAAGCTGTTCCTGAAATTCTACAAAAGCATGTACAACAGATAGAGATAGATGAGATAGAGATAGAGATAGAGATAGAGAAACTTGCTTGGAGGAAGTATCAGTAATAACAGTCAATCTCAAAACTTGATGTCTACTATTTGTTATGAATAGGGAATTTATACTTCATGCAGGAACTCTGGGTTCTAAACAAGTAAATCCATTATTGGAGAAAAGCCTGTTTTCCTTCTCCTTCTCCTTCTGTTATGCTTTGTGTTCTTCAAACGCAGTTTGGTGTGCTTTGGGAGTGAGTTTCAGGATCACGGCCAAGTGTTATCTCAAAGCAATATATTTAAAATAGGAAGTTAGTTGTCTATTAATAGATGGAAATACATAGATAGATAGCAATGTTGCCAGGTAATTTTTATATTAACTAACTAGAGGCCTTCTCTTCTTCTTTTGTGGAAAGTATCTTCCAAAAATATTCAAACTCTATTTTCTACTTGCTAGATTTTCCATTTTGCGGAACAATATTACATCAGTCCCAAGTGAAAAATATTACATATTCCATTAGAACCTAGACTGAAGGCTAATGATTTCATTTGTCTTTGTCTAGTTATTCCAGGTTTTCTAGCTCTATAGAAGTACAAGATAGATTTTGATAGCAATACACTCATGGGAGTGTGAGATAGGGGAGGGGCCTGAGACTGAGAGCTGGGTGACACGGTCCCTGGTGGGCCCTTCTGGGTATGCTCACATGTGTGCCTTTGTTTCCTTACCTGTCACTGTACTTGGCAGGGTGTGGGGGAGAATCAAGAGCACATGTGAAAATAACTTTTTAAGTATGACATGCTAAACATTATTATTACCATTATCCTTATTATTATTATTAGATCTATATATTGTGCAAAGAAGAAGCAGTGCTATATTTTTAGTCTTTTAAAAGCTAAATATGAGTAAGGTAGCACATACTAATGACCAGGAACCTAGAGGCACAGGCATCCATTTCCTGGACTCAAAGGATCACAGCACCTGGTTTTCATACTTGAACTTCCTCCACTTTTTACAAATAAGGAACATTTCATGTTGCTCCTAATGTTTTGATAGTTTGTTTTTCATTTAAAGAATAAAATATATGTGGCCTACTACAGCAGAACTTTAGACCATATTTTGCAAATCCTTCTCTTTGCTCTTATTTCCACACCTTGAGGGCTTCCTGAGTTCATCTGGCCTAAGTTCTATAAATCATACCAACATACAATGAATCCAAGATATACTTTTCTGTCCAAGTCATGAGGCAGAATTCAATATATGCTGCCAAACCAATGTATAGCACAGTCTGAGCCAACACAGGAAAAGAGAAGATGTCCTGCCAAGTTCTAAAGAGTAGACTTTTGAGAAGGAAACAACTACCTTCAAAAAAAATAGTGTGTTCATCTATAGAGCACTAATGCTAGCTTAGTCCTCACACTGAGGTTAATTATCATCTCATTGTGGCCAAAAGGAATGCACATCTGGCAAGAAAATCTGAATATTTTGCCAGATGTCAAAGTATGTGAGACTTTACAGTATCTCTAGAGCTGGGAGGAGAAGAGAAGATGTTTGTATGTGTCTATTTCAGCTATCACTCAGGACCTTAGAAATTTTTCATTACCACCTCCTCAACCCAGCACAGCTTCAACCCCATTTTTGAATGCATTATTTCTTATTCCTCTTACTCTACCAATCGGGATATGTGTGTGTATGTGTGTGTATGTGTGTGTGTGTGTGTGTGTGTTTGTTCATTCGCCCCCTTGGATCTTTCTTGCTATGGCTCAGTGATATCTTATCACTCCCCATGACCAGACTGTGCATCATGTTTGAGCTTAGGTCACTTGGTTTAAAATGTGGTGTCTGTGGCTGGGGCAAATTCCTAGAAAAGGGAGTGGCTGGGCCACCCACCACTTTGTTGTCTTTAACATGGAAAAATGGGCTGAACAGTGTCATGGAAACACAGAGTTTATACCACAATATTTGCCCAGCAACAGTCTTACTGGTTGTCTAAATTGTATAAATCGCCCAACTGGTCTTAGCTTCATCATCAAAGTGAGTGTTACGTTAATCACTCTATGGTACCAAAGTACAAAAGTGCTTAAGCAACCTAAGGCAATGAAACAAAATACCTGAATCTAAAAATCTATTTATTTATATGAATAGACTGCACATTATGCCTTAGATTAGCCCAATTAAACAAAATGAGTATTAGTATAGAAAAAAAATTAAGAATACACAATGATCACCTATTTCTACTACATTCATACTAGGTATTTAATTTTCTTTACTAAGAATTTGGTGGAGACACTCTGTGGTTATATAGAAGACAAATCGCTTAGATTGGGACTTCATTAACTTACTGAACCATTCAACATCTGACACTTAAAAAAAGGCCCATGGCCCTAGCTGGTTTGGCTCAATGGATAGAGCATTGGTCTATGGACTGAAGAGTCCCAGGTTTGATTCTGGTCAAGGGCACATGCCCTGGTTACAGGCTTGATCCCCAGTAGGGGTGTGCTGGAGACAGATGATCAATGATTCTCTCTCATCATTGATGTTTCTATCTCTCTCTCCCTCTCCCTTTCTCTATGAAATCAATAAAAAAAACAATAAATAAATAAAAAGGCCCATTGAGCCCTGGACAATTACTCAGTGGTTAGAGCATCAGCCCTTGGTCCAAAGGTCTCAGGTTCAATTCCCAGTCAAGAGCACATACCTCGGTTGCAGGTTTGATCCCCAGCCCAGTTGGGTGTGTGCAGAAGGCAACCAATCAATGTGTCTCCCCTGCATCTATGTTTCTCTCTCCTCCCCTCCCTTCCACTCTCTCTTCCTAAAGATCAATGGAAAATACATATCCTCAGGTGACGATTTTTTTTTTTAAAAAAAAAAGGCTCATTGAGTACCTCTTGGAAACAACCAATAAATTCAAGGTATCAGTATCAACAGCTCTCAAATATGTTGCCCTAATTCAGATTCACTTCCAGCCTTTCTCTTCTCTTGCACTTTCTCTTCCACCGTTTTGAGAAAATCTCATCTATAAGCACTGAGTGTTACAGGCATATTTTCCCGCTATCACTAGGAATGTGACTTCCTCATTGGAGCCCGAAGCCTGGCAGGTTCTTGTTTAGTCTTGACTCGAAGGACTCTGAGATCTTAACCAGGTTTCTTGGTGCTTGCGGACAGTTTGAAAGCAGAGCACGGTGCCTCTGGTCTTCGTCAGGGCCGAAAAGGAGTAGCAACATCTGTAAGAGAGAAATAAACGGATGCAAAGAAAGAGAGGGGCCGGCAGTCCAGGGATGAGAGAAGAATAGAAAGCGGAGTATAGAACTGACGCTTGCCATTTAAGTTTCCTTCTTTGGAGGTTGAATTTTCTAAGTTGCATGTAATGTACTTTTCCCTACTTTTAGACATAAGATGCGGAGAGGCTTTTTACATTTGTGAAAGGGGGGATAGGTCTCCTTGGCTGCATTACAACCATCACACTGATGTTGGTGCAAGAAAACCAGTTCTCTGTCAGTGACCGGCCTCTGGTCAGGTCCCTTGGAAAGTTGTCAGACCCCACTTAGGTCAGCCAGAGCGTTTGTGTTTGCACTTTGTTGAAATTCACCTGAGCAGACACTGAGGAGAGAGCGCCGTTGGAGGAAATTAGGAATTTGCTTTTTGCTGCGAGGAAGTAAAAATGCTGACTTTGTCAACGCCATCAGCTATTTGTCCCTGCTTCTCCGAGCAGGGTTCTGTACTCTACTCTCACGCTGACAGAATTTTAATAGATGATGGATTGCACCCAGTATCTGCTCTGCATAGCAGCATGTCACAGTGGAATCTCAGATGGATTCACAATTGAAATTCCTGTGTTGCAAGACGCCGGATATTTTGTTAAAGCTGTGCTGACAAGAAGAAAAGATGAGCGTTCCCAAAAAGGAGCATGGTTCCTTCTTTTTAAAATTTTATTTAGGGTCACGTGACTCTTAAATCTCCTGTTCTTCACATGGGCAGCATTACTTCCTCTTGAGGAGAAAGGCCAGCTTTCATTGTTACTCAATTACAAATCGGTTATCTAATTACAGCATTGTAAGAAATGCTGGATGCCCTCATTGAATCATTGCATGATTTGTTGCTCTGCTTGGCTAAATAATGATTTTTAATAAACCATAAGTTTACAGCTAAAGAGTAAATACAAACTCTACAAGGCTGAACAAGGAAGCTCCAGAATACTTTATTTGGTCCTTTTTTCCCCTGCAAACTGGTATGACCTGAGGCTTAATTTTAGAGGTATGTCCCCCAATTTGGCAGGTGTATGTTCTGTAAAAGCACATCACCAAATTTGGAAAAGAGTATTTAAATCCTTAGAATTCTGTTCAGAAAGCAAGGTTTTTGATTTTCTCCTTTTATACCAACACCCGAGCTGAGCAAAAATCCTAACCCTCATAGTGTCATTATCTAAGTCGATGCTTTTGCTATTTAAGTAGTTACCCAGGCAAACCTATCGCCAGGCCAGGCTGTGTTTTTAAGTACTTAGCAAAAAGAAAATAGCAACTCTAACCCATATGTACCATCATAACAGAAGATAACTCAAATGAGTGAGAATAAACTTGGGAGGAGCAGCTTCTTTTGAGGATCACCTCTTTTTAAGGTGGGGTAAAGCGAACTTGAACAAATCATTTCCACAGAAAGTCTCTTAGACATCTTAACTACTGTAAAACAAACAAACAAACAAACAAAAACGATAGTGCAGGCTTTGCTGTTGTTTAATGTGGCTTCCATCTTCTGCAATAAGTTTTCAAAAATAATCTAAAGTGACTTTAGAAAAAAAATACTTCAAGCAATGAAGTTCAAGGCTCAGCATTCAAAAGTGCAT